AACCCCTTCAATCCTCTCCAAAAGAGGTTTAACCGAACAAGGCATTAGGGAGGTTGGTTCAGGTATTGAGTGCATTGAGTTGATGTCCTAAACATGTCAATGAGGCTTGCTTTCTAAACATTTCCCATTCTAATATATGATACAACATGTTTTTGTGTATTTTAGAAAAGCGATGACAGGGACGTAATTTAAAGAGTCAATCCTTTGTTGATGATGATAGTGACTTATATCATCAGATTAGTTGTTTTGATGTAATATTGTCATCTCACTTTATTTTCAGTTGAAACCTACCGAAAACCACATTAAGCCATGTCATCATTTAAACTAGAGCATTAAGATAAACACAACCGTGTCACCATGAACATCCATGAAAATACTAATTGTCAAACAGTTTTGCTAAATCGATTGAGACTTCCTTATGTCTCAGCCGATGCTATATTCCTTTGATCTTGCACAGAGATTCGTATAAAAATTTCTTTTTAGTTTTTTTTCTTCTAATACACTGTATCAATTGCATGAAACATGGTTAAATCTCAGTTGACTGAGACCTATCCACACCCTCATTATCAAAAGGCAAATTAGTTGACTCAAATCTCCACAACTGCAAAGGCCTAATAGTGACTTCAAAAAAATAAAGTTTGAGATGGTTGTCATGTACTCCCTCCGTTCCTAAATAGAAGTCTTTTTAGACATTTCAAATAGACTACAATATACGGATGTATGTAGACATATTTTAGAGTGTAGATTCATTCATTTTACTTCGTATGTAGTCACTTGTTGGAAACTCTAAAAAGACATACATTTAGGCAGTGGCGAAGCCACGTACAAGCTGGGTAGTCAATTGACTGCCCAGCTTTTTGGTGAAACTAGCATATAGGTGTAGAAATAGTGAAATAAATTTGTATAAATTTGTATATTTGACTACACAATTTCAAATTGACTACACAAGACAATATTTCTGGCACCGCCACTGCATTTAGGAACGGAGGGAGTACATCTCTGTATATGGCGATGGTTGTTGCCTTGGCGCACCGCGAGATGCCTTTGCTCCCTTCTTGCTTCTGGCGCCTCATCCCCCTCGTGCTAGCCGCGGAAACAGGCCAAGGCAACCGAGCAACAAAGCTCTTGAGCCCTGAGAATCTCCTCCTGTTCTACTAGGACATGTTTTCATTGCCCACGATAAATATGTTCCACGGGTTGCCATACGTGCCGACAACGCATGATCATTTTGGAGTTTATCCCCGGGGGCAAATGGCACCTTAGGGATATAGCCAACCCAAGGGGTCAGTGTGGACCAACATTGAAAATATTAATATGAATTTAATTACATTAAAAATATTTTGTGCGCCATATATAGGCTTCGAGGAATTTCTAGGATGACCATGGACCACCTTGTCCATCCCCTAGCTACATCCATGTGCACTATAAAAGCAACTCCAACGCGCCGACCCAAATTGTCGGTGCGTGTTCATTTGGATCGAAACAGACACAAAAGACGGCCCAACGCAGCGACCCAAATGGATGAGCGTTCATTTTTTGTCCACGCACGACCCATTTCAGGCGTGTGATGTGCGCGACGCCGCCCTTGTCCTCCCCTGGCCCACCAGTCGGTGGCACATTGGCAATTTCATCGTCCTCCCAGCGACAGCCAGCAAACCTGGCCGCCCCACCCATCGCCGCCGGCGCCCAGTTCCGATGCACATGCTAGCCGTCCACACCCACATACCTCCCCCCGCAGCACGTCACCTTCCAACGTCGCTGCTACCACCGCCACCGCAACATCACGATGTCGCCGCCGCCACCCCCTGCCCGCAGCACCCATGCGCAGCGTCCGTCTCCGCCATGCCCGCTGGACACCGACAAGCCTTCTAGCTGGTCCAGGAGAGGCCCGAGGCTCTTCATCGACCAGCTTCTTCCACGACGCCCGCAAGTTGTTCGACGGTTTGCCTGCAAGGTATAAATGGACTCCGTCGACGAGTTCTTTTTTCACAATTTCATTTACGACTTTGATGATTCTTCATCCGACGATGAGGAGCTTGTGGCTGATGTATGGGTCGTCCATGACCACCTTAGTAGGCAGCGGCCCATGTTTAGGGGCTCGATCCCGGGGCACACTCCGGCGTTCAATTGCAACTGAGGGAGCAGCGGCCATTGCCTACTCTGGCAGGACTACTTCGAGTCCCCCTACCCGCTCTTCAAACACAACCTATTCTAGCGCCGTTTTCGTATGGCTTGTTCAACTATATCCGAGAGGGAGTGGTAGCATACGATAAGTATTTTGAGTGTAAGGAGGATGCCCTAGGAAAGATTGACTTCTCCTCTTATCAGAAATGCACTGCAACTATTCCGATGCTTGCATACAGATTTTTCGGTATCTCATTAATGAGAATGTCTGAATGAGCAAGTCCACGTGCCTAGACTCCATGTATAGGTTCTGCAAGGCTGTGATAGCAGTGTTTGGCCCGGAGCACTTGAGAGAGCCAAATGGTGCAGATACAGCCCGTTGTTGGCGATCAATGTCCGTAGGGGCTTTCCGGGGATGCTTGGTAGCATAGATTGTATGCACTGGGACTGGAAGAACTGTCCTTCTGCTTAGCAAGAGCAGTATAGGGGCCATGTCAAAGCTTGCACTATCATACTTGAGGTCGTGGCTTCACAAGATCTCTGGATTTGACACTCTTTCTTCGGCATGGCCGAATCTCACAACGATTTCAACGTGCTTCAACGCTCTTTGGTGTTTGCAAGGCTTGCAGAAGGAAACTGCCTGGAGGTCAATGTTGAGATCGATGGCCACCACTATAACAAAGGATATTACCTAGCCGACAGTACCTATCCTCAGTGGACTACTCTTGCAAAGACAATCCCTAACCTATAGGAGAGAAGAGGAAGAGATTTGCCCAAGAGCAAGAGAGTGCTAGGAAGGATGTGGAGCATGCCTTTGGTGTTCTTCAATCTCGATGGGCATCGTTCGGTATCCTGCTAGAACTTGGAGCACTTGTGGGAGGTGATGACTGCTTGCGTGATCATGCACAATATGGTCGTAGAGGATGAGCGGCCGGAACGTATCTACGACCAAGAGTTTCTGTTTCAGGGTGAAAATATTGTGGTCGAGCATGGAGGAGTGACGACATTTGCACAGTTAACCGAATTTCATTATCAAATGCGTGATTGAGAAACTCATATTCAACTGCAAAATGATTTGGTTGAGTATATGTGGGCTCACATTGGCAACTTATAGATGTATCGGCTATCTTTTTTTATGTATTTGATAATTAAATTTTTTTGGCTTGTAAACTATGAGATTTCATTTGGTTGTGAAACTATGAGATATTTATATTTTGTTTGAATTACGTGAACCAAGACCAAATTTTCATATGTTTGCAAAAAGAGCTAAAAAAATGATCGCGGGCCGGCCTTGAGGACGAAAATGCGTCCGCGCGTTGGGCGCACGGCCGATCCAAACACCAAAAGGGGTGAACAAGCCGACCAAACGGATAAAAAGCGGACAAAACGCACGTCCGTTTGTGTCGGCGCGATGGAGTTACTCTAACTGCTGCATTATGCTCCATCTCAATGCATGTATATTTGACCTAAAAGCATGTTTAGTTAGTCTGATAGATTTGACGATTCTTAAAAAGCATTTCCTGGTCTTCATTAGCTTGGGTTAAAAACCCATTTTCCCTTATAAGTTTTACCCAAATGGTTTCAAATAAAAACACCCACACATGCCACTTCATTTCCTCCTTGGTTTTCCCAATGTGTTTCTAATGTCATTGGCATGTACCTTGATTAGGCCGGATGAGGTTGATGCGATTTCATTTTCTCCTTAAGTGGCCCATTCATTCCGCCGTCAAAAAGCTACAGTACTAGTTCGGGCTGCACTTATTTGCACGGACGCTATGCTACAGTAGGACTGCGTTTCCAAGAAGAGCATGCGCGCACGAACTTTGCATGCGCGCCCTGCCCCAAGGCGGCCACGCACGAGTTAGGCAAAAGACTTCGGGGGCCAGACTCTTTCCGTGTTCTTCCCACGGCACGGCGGTATAAATTGCCGGCGCGCCATATTTGTCTGCCCGGCCGGCGGCAAAAAAGATCATTTCGATAGCTAGCTTCCTGATCGAGCGAGCTAGCGAGCCCCATGCATGCAACTTCTTCGCAGCCTCCCTCCACCCCGGCCCCTGCCGATCAGCTCCACCATCCGAGAGCTTTGTAGGTGACTTACTCGCCTGGTGATTAGCAGGCAGGAAGTAGCTGGTTTTTAACCCGGCGCACCGCCCACCTACTCGCCATCTCCTCCGGTTCTACACCGCAGCAACATCGATCGTTTACCCTCTGTACGTACCTAGCCCGTACCTGACGACGGTGACCTCCCTCCTTGGCGCCATGGGGAGCTCGTGCGTGAACCTCTCCCGCGCCGTCGCCGCCGCGAGGCGCCCGGGCTTCGCCGGCGGCGTCGGCGGCCACGGGAGGAGCGTGGTTGCATTGTCGTCGTCGTCGTCGTCGAGGAGGCGCACTGCCGCCGACGGCGGCTTGTCGTGCGGCATCGCCAACGGGTACCTGGGCGGCTCGTCGGGTGGGTCGCGGCCGCCTTCCTTGCCGGTGCACGGCAAGAGCTCCGGGCCCGGTTCGGCGCGGGAGGCGGGTGGTCACGATCACGCTGACGGGCTCGGGATCCAGGAGTTCCTTGGCGGCAAGAACTTCCTCATCACCGGCGGGACTGGCTTCCTAGCAAAAGGTACGTTTATGTCGCCATCTTCATAGTTCTCTCTGCCTCCACTTGATTATCGCTGCCATTTTCGTGCTCGATTTCGTTTCGAATTTATTTATCTACCGTGTCAGTTCTGATCGAGAAAATCTTGAGGACGAACCCTGACGTGGGCAAGATATACGTGCTGATCAAGGCCAAGGACAGCGAGACGGCATTGCAGAGACTGCAAAATGAGGTATGACTACTAACTAACCATACCCTAACCCTACCAGTTTTGATCTTCATCCAAACGATGATATTCTTTTCCATTTTCCCGTACGCGGCATTCGTGCAGGTGGTGGACACGGAGCTGTTCAAGCGCCTGCAGGAGATCCACGGCAAAGACTACCAAGGTTTCATAGCGACAAAGCTTGTCCCCGTAGTTGGCGACGTCAGGGAGACCAACATCGGCATTGCCCCCGAGCTGGCCGATGAGATCGCGGAGCGGGTGGACATCATCGTCAACTCCGCCGCCAATACCACCTTCGACGAGAGGTTCGTCCTTCTATAATATATACGTGCACTTGTCTTCTAGCTAGAGTTTTTGCATTGCTCCAAGATTCAGTCACTCCATCGTGTGAAACAGAATTTTACATCTGAATATTCAACCAGGTATGATGTCGCCATGGACATCAACACCGTGGGGCCGTTCCGGATAATGAGTTTCGCGCATCGGTTTCGAAGGCTGAAGCTCTTCCTGCAAGTGTCCACAGGTCAGGCTCATGCCATCTGCCAAATGAACCCTTTCCGCGTGAAAGCGATGTTTACTTGGAATTTTTCCCTTTGGGGGGTTTCCAACGGTTGTGTTGCATGACATAATAACCATGCATGATCGCAGCGTATGTGAACGGGCAGAGGCAGGGTGTCGTGCTGGAGAAGCCGTTTCGGTTGGGAGACACCATTGGAAAAGGGTCAGCTGGATCCTCGGATTCTTCGGAGCAGCACAAGAACGCCGTGCTGGACATCGAGGCGGAGATCAAGCTGGCCTTCGATTCGAGAAGGCGCGCCGATGATGACTCGGCTTCGTTCTCTCAAGAGATGAAGGATCTAGGACTAGAGAGGTAAGCAATGCATACATTTCTTGCCATGACCTCCTTGGTCTCGGTCTGAAGGTGCGACATTAGGTTGATTTGCTGAACGTGCTGGTTACTCCTGTAGAGCGAAGCTCCATGGGTGGCAGGACACCTACGTGTTCACCAAGGCCATGGGGGAGATGGTGATCAACAGCATGCGAGGGGAGATCCCCGTGGTCACCATCAGGCCCAGCGTGATCGAGAGCACCTGGAGAGACCCCTTCCCGGGCTGGATGGAAGGGAACAGGTACGTACGTGAGTGTAGAATGTGGTACGATCTTGCAGAGTTCATCAACATTCTGTTTCTGATTTCCATTGGCGAATTGATTTGCTCGACCAGGATGATGGACCCTGTTGTCCTCTACTACGGCAAAGGCCAGCTGAGTGGATTCCTCGCCGATCCGGCCGGCGTTCTAGACGTGGTAATCAGTTACACATTCTCTGAGCAAATGCAGTAGTGAGGCCATGGAGCTGATCTTGCAGACGCTAATGGCTTTTCTTGTTGTGTCCTTTGGCAAGGTTCCGGCGGACATGGTGGTGAACGCGACGCTGGCGACGATGGCGAAGCACGGCCGGGCGGCGGAGGGGGGAATGCACGTGTACCACGTGGCGTCGTCGACGGTGAACCCGCTGGTGTTCGGCGACCTGAGCCGGTTCCTGTTCCAGCACTTCACGAGGAGCCCCTACAGCGACGCGGCGGGGCAGCCCATCGCCGTGCCGCCCATGCGCCTCTTCGACACCATGGAGCAGTTCGCCAGCTACGTCGAGACGGACGCGCTGCTCCGGAGCGCCAGGGCCGGCATCCCCGCCGACGAGCGCCTCTCGCAGCGCCTCCAGGAGCTCTGCGCCAAGTCCGTCGAGCAGACCATCCACCTCGGCAGCATCTACCAGCCCTACACTTTCTACACCGGCAGGTCATCTTTCTCTCTCCCACCCATGGCATGTCATTTATATGTTTTGTTTGCTCAAAGCTGCTACCACGCGTCGCCGGCGATGGACGGTGTATGCAGGTTCGACAATGGCAACACGGAGGGGCTCATGGCGGAGATGTCGGCAGAGGAAAAGGCGGCATTCCACTTCAACGTGAGGAGCATCGACTGGACAGACTACATCACCAACGTCCACATCCCAGGGCTCAGGAAGCACGTCATGAAAGGGAGGGGCATCGCCACGGAAACGCCACCCTCCTCCACGGTGCTCGCCGCCACCTCCACAGTGTGAACCCACCGCCGTAAAACCGAACACCAAAATGCGCCGCGGCGTGTACACTAGTGTTAGATTGTATCAAGTGCCTAAGCACATGATCCACTTAAGAAACACCGTTTGGTTCTGTGTTAGCAGCAACTTAACTAAGGTTTATGACATTCTGTCAGATTGATTCTGCATTATAGACCTGTTTGTCCTAAACAACAGAAAATACTTCTTCACCTCTGCATGCAATTTCTTATAGTGTATTTGTGGGAAAACAAAGCTTTGGAAATACTGAAATATGATTTAATTAACTGTATCTTAACGTTGATAATACAGATTACAAGCCTAGTAATACAAGCTTAAGCTACATATAGGAGTTCAGTCTTTGCCAATGTAAAATGCCATGCCTCTATGAAATTGCCAAAGTATAGAGGGAGAGGGTGCATGGATGGCCCTTTCTTCACCTGGGACTCAGCAGGTGGCTGCATGAAGCTTCTTTTGTTTCAGGATGGCAGCAGTCTTTTGGGATTGACCAATGGGGGGCCAATTTTACACAGGGCTTTGGTACACCCCTTTGTTATTGTTTGTTGGCTCATGTGCAGATTTGGATCCAGCAGAATCTCACTGATCGGTGCGGACTATCGCAATACAAACTGAGAAATGGTGCAGCCAGTTTACTCAAAGGAAATAATCAGGTGTTCTCCTTGTCACATCTGGCTCACCTCTCCGAGGGGCTGGCTCAAACTGCAGCAATAGGGGGGAAACCAGCTTGATAAGTATCAAGCGATAAAAAAGGCACAACATGAGGAACCTATTTCAGTATATTGTCTTCTAAAAAACAATTGAAGTAAAACATTAACATTTCTATTTGAAGTTTCAGTAGATTTACAGTAAAATGGGTGCATATATATGACTGATCTGCATTTCGTGCCTAGCTGGATGATGCCACAGCCATGGACCAAATAACAAAGAGAAAGTATCATCATGTAAAAATGAAGTGAACTCGTGATCACCTGAATAAAGGTGTGAGCGTTGCAGTCATCAACTTCCAAAATGGATGCCATGTTGCCACATCGGTAACAATAGTTTGGAGCACTGAATATGGTAACAACTTTTTGTTCCTGTATATGAACAGCGAATAATCATAACATATTGCTTGCAAAAGAAATCAGCAGATGAAGTATCTAAAGTCCAACCAGCTTACATGAGCCCAGTTATATCCCTCCATAACTAACTGATGAGCCCGAGCAACAAGTTTGAGATTGTTGGTGTGATTGAACTGCTCAGATATGTCCTGCAAAAAAAGAAGAATGAACAAAGTACAACTCAGCAAATCCGCAAATAGTGCTTGTAAAAGGAACACAGTACTACAGTAGTACCTGCCCAAATGTGTAGCCAGCACCACGAGGAGAAATGCCCCAACCACATCGATCGTCCGGATCAGACCATAAAAGATCACACATAGGACCCTCATGTGGAACCTCTTGGACACGATCCAAGCTACGCACACTATCAAGATTCTCAATCGATGGAGATAAACCACCATGCAGGCAGAAAATTTCAGATTCCACCTTCAAGAATGTAAACAAAATATCAATATAGGCCCTGAACACAAAATACTGAGAAAAATGCAAGAAAACCTTATGTGATAATCAGAAGGGTGGAGAAAAATGCAAGAAAACCTTATTTGATAATAAGAAGCGTGGAGGGCAGCTATTTTATCATACATATAGCATAAAAACAATGAGTATATTATCAACCTATCAATGAACAAGTTCAGTGTTTAATAGTCCATTCATACAACTGGGTATCTCAAGAGTCAAGACCTACCAGCACTAGAAAGAGCAAAACAGCTAAAATCAACTAACAGTTAAGGTGAGAATCATCCAAGATTGTGTTTCGCTCCTTTTTAAGTAAAGAATTTATGGATTGTCACACTCATACGAGGTGAAGACATTAGCCACGGTCCATGGATATGTTCTCAGCTACCGAGTCCAAAGTGGGCAAGGCATGAAACATAACTATCATACAGACGCCAACAAAACTGGACATCCATATAATTTAACACACACAAAAAAAAACAATCCGCACAATAAGGCTGCATGCATCTTAGAAAAATGCAGAATAACCCAAAGAAAAGAGAGGAGGTCTAAGATTCAGAGTACAAACCAGGGCTGTTAATGGGAAATAATCAAAAAGATCTGTGAATATCTTCCATACATTTGCATTGCCGTACCTGGTTAGAAAGAAAGAGAACATAAATGATATTGCTAAGACAGCAATACTATGATTACTATCACATATAGTAAAAATGTTCTCCGTAATCAACTTATATTGGACTAAAGAGTTTGTAACTTTATATACTACATAACAATAACATGTAATTATTCAAATTTTCTCAAAGCATATGCAGCTCCTAAGCATGGTGATAGAGCACCATCAGAAGAAAAGATCATACAACTAGTTTCACAAGTCATGTGTATGCAATCAACACATCGTCAATACTAATCTAAGGAATCTTTACAAATGCAGGTATAAAAGACACATGAATAGATGATGCCAACTAGATTCACATACATCAACACAAGTGGCACAACTATATATGAGAATAAGACAATTATGTTAAAAGAGCACTAAGATCAGATTGAACAAGCACAGATTTTCTAGCACAGCTGCAACCATAAGATTAAGTACATATAGAACAGGCTAGAACTGGAATAAGATTAAGTGAACTCACTTTCGTAGGCATTCATCGTAGAATCCATATACTTGTGTGATCTGCAACCATTGTGGAAACATACTTTCAGTTTGAGAAGAAAAATACATGACAAAACAACATCAAAGTTATAATAAAGCAAAATATGCATAAAACAGAAGATGTAAGATTCGAACAGAGAAGCCTGCTCCATTTTCCATTCAAACTGAGATAATGACAGCTATTGAGCTACAAACATCAACACATAAGCATTGGGAAGATAATATCTATAGTACCTGCCGACTCTCATGGTTTCCGCGGAGGATTGTAATCCGATGTGGGTGGCGAACCTTCAGTGCTACCAAGAGCTGGATAAGAAATATCATTAAGTACATATAACATGAATCCGAACATGGTATCATTGGAAAGAATAGAATAGTATCCACAAGTAGATTGATTCTTACAGAAACAGTCTCAACGGAGTAGTATCCACGATCCACATAATCCCCCATAAACAAATAATTAGTATCTGGACACTGAAAACAACAGGAAAAAAGGTCAGCCATTCGGAGATGTAATGTAAAATGCATTGTGTTAAAGCAGGGTGCAGGGTAGGAACGAATAAAGATCAGCTAACAACAGTAGTACCTTCCCGCCAATCCGGAAAAGCTCAACAAGATCATGGAATTGTCCGTGAATATCACCGCAGATTGTCACTGGGCTTTTGACTGGCTGCAAAACAAAGAAAATGCAACAGCTTAAAGCCAATGCTTATCTGCAAGTGTACCTTATCACCATACATGTAGATAATTTTAGATGATGTTTGTAAGAATGCAGTGTTGAGGTGTCAGAATGGAACTTTGCCATTTCATGATATACATAAGAGCTAACAATTAAGCAGATGAAATGGGCGGGGCAGAAGAAGACCTTAAATTACTATGTTTATTTTAGCATCAGCAATTGCCAGTTTATGGGTTGAACAAAAACCACCAAAGAACAGGATATAATTGAAAGCAAATTATTGATCAGAATGCCCTCGGCACATAGGACTGAATAAAGGAAACAGCTATCTGAACAATACAATGACGATGCTGTTGCTTAGGCAGTGCCAAGATCCAAGACAGTATAATAAGCTCAAACAACCTTTGGAACCAGCTATAAAGATACCCAACGCGTGTATAAAAGATACACTGCACAAGTGAGATGAGAACTGATGGTATGTAATACCTGCACATTGCTTTCCTCCATCAATATCTCCTTAGCCTTCTCGCATAGTGCTTTAACCTGCACATGTGGGGCTGTAAGGACACAAGTCTGATTCCAGGAATGTGAGAAATAAACTCTATAAATGTTTGTGGGCATCAAATATTCCTGTTTCTGACCAACAACTCACACACTATCCACATCGACCCAAATGTATACGAACGACATCCTACAGGTGATGCACTTGACCCTTCATTCTTTTTTGAGGAAGATGCACTTGCCCCTAAAGATGGCGTTTTCCCTACTGATATGGCACTGGAGACAATAGGAGCTTGCAAAAACTCCTACTTTGACGCTACTTTAAAGCAACTATTACAGGAGATCTATCCCGAGAGACCAAATCTGAAGCACGGCAGCAGAATGATTCAAAAACGACCCTTGGACAGGCGCAAGCTAGACGTCATATCTATCATCCTCCAAACCGTCCAGCATAACAAACAGCATCGAAATCACCGGATCACGCTCCGAATCCAGGGCCTCGAACCAGCAGCCCAGCTGTCAAAAAACCCTAGAGGCGGCCCCCTCGATAACAGATCAAAACGAGCATTCGCCAGATCCGGCGGCGGCGCCGGCGAGGGAGCGAGCGAGAAAGCCAGATGGAACGGCGGACAGAAGCGTGCGGAAATCTCACCTCTTGCTCGGCGAGCGGGCGGCACTGCAAGAGCTGCTCGATCTGCGCGTCCAGGCCGCCGCAGCCGCTGCTGTCCACGCTCATGGGCTCCATGTACTCTGCCGCCCGCCTCCTCCGCCGCCGACCGTGGGAAAAGGCAACCTGAGCTGGAGCTCGTCGCCGGCGGCGAGGCGGGGCGAGAGGGGGGAGGGGAGCGCTGGGTCGGGGCCGCGGAACAGGAGAGTGGGGAGTGAGACTGGGGGGGGGGCGGGGGAAGGAACTGGACGCGGACGGGAAGCCCATCATCCGCCACATGGGCCCAAATCTGTCCAGCCGGTGGGACCCACGCGCTCCGCGTCGCGGCTCGCAAGTGGCTGCCGGCGGGGGCCGAGCGCGTGCGTGGACCGGAGAGAGACCCGGGGCGCCATCCTTCTCAAAATTTTCGAGATTTATCGAGATCCGGAGGGGCTCCGTGGCCATTTGAATAGCGACACACTTGATCCTAGTTGAAGATTGGCAATTGGCTTTCTCATCGCGTACGAGGTACTTACAGCATAGTATGATGACAACCTGTAAAAAAATATGAGTCGGAAACATGTAATTTTAATCTCTTTTTCTTTACTATGCAAAGTGTAATTTAATCAAGTTTCCGAATTGATCAGAATATAGGGAAATTATCTTTAATCTTCATATAAATTATTTGCCATAATTTAAATCTCCTTTTCTTTACGATCCAACGTGCAATTTAATCGAGGTTTTTTAATTCATCGAAAAATAGGGAATATATCTTTTTCGATCAACGGGGTAGAAGCCTCCGGCTCCATACTAAGAAAGAATAATTGAAAGCACCCCAAGTCTAGAACTTGTCGAGAATGTAATGATTTAGTCCAATAGTTGCAAAAGTGCACCACCATCTCAAACTTGCACCAGATGTGATGATTTGGTCCTAGCCCAATCTGAGCGAGACAAGTGGCGCCCAGGTGGTCGAGCCGATCGTCCTCTGCACTTTTGCACATAACCCCTGCCTTTTTCTGAATTCAAGTCGCAACACACTGCACCTGAATTAAATTTGTTTCAATATCTGTTCGCATCCATTCGTTCAAGGGCGGCCAGCCAGGTAGTGTCATGTCGGGGCGACAGCCACAGCGATCAACTGATGGCGTCAGCCACCACGGCATCGTCGCCGTCACCGGAGTTCACTAGTGGTATGGAGGCACCTCCTTCCGCTCATCTCGTCCGCCCGTTCGGCATCTTCCCACCCGACTATTATGAGTCTTCTGCCCACCTCTGCTCTGCTATGTTCGTCGTCTACCTTCTTCTTACGCCCGTTCGGCTGTAAAGCTAGGGTTTTGAGCGACGATTTTAGGCTAGGGTTTTGGGTGATAAAGTAGTTGTTTCGGTTGATAAAGTAGGGGTTTAGGCCTAGGGTTCTTCGGTGAATATAGTCTCCAATGGGTGTGGGTGCTTAAATGAAGCTCTTTGTGCTCTTGAAGATGATTTTTTTGGAGGCAAATTAGTGCTTATTTTCTGAACTTCTGCAGTTCAGTTATGCTTAATGATGTTTGTTGTGCAGTTTCAGTTTGCTCATGGTCATGCAGTTACGCCTGGTACTGTAATTCAGTTATGCTAATGGTCATGAAGGAGAATTGCAGGAACTTTTGTAGTTCATTAATGATATAAGTTCAGTTTTTGCGGTTAGTTAACTGAATTTTGCTCAATGCACATTTTTGCAATTAACTGATTTTTTTAGTGGTACAGTTCAGTTTTGTATGGTTGAACATTTATAGTTCAGTTATGCTCATGCTATGTTCAGTTAAATTTGTAGTTGGAGTTGGCTTGCTGCTCTGTTTAGTACTTGCAATGTACACTTTTTGGATGTGGTGTGTGATTCAGCAAATGGACAAAGGATGGCTACTCTTTTTTTACACCGGAACTTGAGCATGGTGGTATTTTTCTGTGGACCAATCAGTAAGTTGGAGTGATGTCTACTATGTAACTTTATTCTTGTAGACTCGTGTTGGGCCTCCAAGCGCAGAGTTTTGTAGGACAGTAGCAATTTTTCCTCGAGTGGATGACCTAAGGTTTATCAATCTGTGGGAGGCATAGGATGAAGATGGTCTCTCTCAAATAACCCTGCAACCAAATAACAAAGAGTCACTTGTGTCCCCAACACACCAAATACAATGGTAAATTGTATAGGTGCACTAGTTCGGCGAAGAGATGGTATACAAGTATAATATGGATAGTAGATAATGATTTTTGTAATAGTAACAATAAAAAATAGCAAGGTAGCAAATGGTAAATGGAGCACAAACGGTATTGCAATGCTTGACAATGAGGCCTAGGGTCCATACTTTCGCTAGTGCAATCTCTCAACAATGCTAATATAATTGGATCATATAACCATCCCTCGACGTGCGATGAAGAATCACTCCAAAGTTCCTATCTAGCGAAGAACAATAGACGAAATTGTTTGTAGGGTATGAAACCACCTCAAAGTTATCATTTCTGATCGATCTATCCAAGAGTTCGTACTAAAATAACACCAAGTTATCCTTTCCTATCTATCTAAGACTTCGTACTAAAATAACACCATATGATACACATCAACCAACTCTAATATCACCTAGATACTCCAATGTCACCGTGAGTATCCGTGAGTTGATTATACGATATGCATGAAATAATTTCAGATTCATAATACTCAATCCAACACAAAGAACCTCAAAGAGTGCCCCAAGATTTCTACCAGAGAAATAAGGACGAGAACGTGCATCAACCCCTATGCATAGATTACCCCAATGTCACATCAGAAATCCGCGAGTTGAGTGCCAAAACATATCAAGTGAATCAATATGATACCCCATTATCACCACGGGTATTCATAGCAAGACATACATCAAGTGCTCTCAAATCCATAAAAGTATTCAATCCGATAATAATGAAATCTCGAAGGGAAAACTCAATTCATCACAACAAGATAGAAAGGGGAAAACACCATATGATCCAACTATATAAACAAAGCTCACGATACATCAAGATCGTGCCAAATCAAGAAGACGAGAGAGAGAGAGGGAGATTAAACACATAGCTAGTTGTACAAACCATCAGCCCGGGGGGTGGACTACTCCCTCCTCATCATGGTGGCCGTCGGGATATGCACTACAAAAAAATACACTTCCGTGATGATACGTGTTTGTCACAGTAGGTCACGGTTTCTGTCATGCATGTACATCCATGACGATTTTATGACAAAATCAAGATAGTCATGCATGTGTTGTCGTAGAAGTGTTCCATGACACTACCAAAATTATCATCACGGAAGTGTCCACTTTCATGACGATAAATCGCACGTCATAGAAGTGCTTTCGTCAATGGTGACCGACAAGTGGCATCCACCGTAGCGGCTCGCCGTTAAGCTATCGGGTCCAGTTTTGGATCCGATAACCCGTTAACATCCCTGACCAATGGGGATTTTCCATGTGTAAAATAATCATTGGCTGGAGGGAACACGTGTCGGCTCACTGTTGGGACAGATGTCATCCACTCATTGGATCGAAGGTGCCTATGATACGTCGACACATGGCATGGCCCAATAGAGGCCCATTCCTGTGAAAAGGTCGACTCGTTTGACTTGGTCAAAAGGTGGCGGGCCGGTCCACAGAAAGCCTGTTAACGACATGTTCGCATATAGCCCATTTACAGCCCGCTAACCCAGGGCCCGTTACGACCTATCCAAATTAGGCCAGGTAGCGTCATCTAGGCCGTCCAATATGATTCCAGCATGTTTTCACTTACGGCCCATGTATGGCCCATGACGTCTTTCGGCCCATATGAGGCCCTTTGTAACTCTTGGCCCATTAACGGCTCGTGGTGAAACTGGCCCGTAATGAATAGTGTATCACTTTATACCCATTAACGGTCCATTATTCCATTGGGCCATTTCCAGCCCATGTTATCTTTCGGCCTTCTCAGGCCCATTTATTCTTGGGCTCATTTCCAGCATTCGGTTACTTACGACCCGTTACTGCCATTTTCTGCTTGTGGGCCAAATTCAGACCGTGGTTACAGTCGGCCCGTTTGTGGTCCGTTAACCCGTTGGACTATTTTCATGTCAAAAAAACCGTTGGGCTGTTTTCATAGAGTTATCAAATACGGCCTATTAACGGCCCGTTATGGTCCACGAATAGTACGACCCATGATTGGCGAAATGATTATACGCCCCGTAGAAGGCCCATGGATCCTATGGCCCGTAGAATACCAATGGATCCTATGGCCCGCAAAAGGCCCATGGATCATACGGCCCGTAGAAATCCCATGGATCCTACGGCCCGTAGAAGGCCCATCGATCCTACGGCCCGTAGAAGGCCCATGGATCCTATGACCCGTATAGAAGACCAATGGATCCTACGGCCCGTAGAAGGCCCATGGATCATACGGCCCGTAGAAGGCCCATGGTTACAACAGTGTGTGTGTGTTGCCATGATTA